GTTGACTGTGGAGCCAAGCAAACTAAAGCTGTGAACAATCTCAATCTCTTCATTATCCATGCTGATACTGTCAATTGACCCAGTGGTGAGAATCTTGACATTAAGCCTCAATCCATATTGGAGGCTACTGTCCTTGATCCTCTGCAGCAGGTGCTTCAGGTCCTCCTCAGTTTCAGCAAACAGGGTTGTGTCATCTGCATAAAGCAGATTGTTGATAGATCTTCCACCAATCCTGGCGCCACACTTTTCCTCATAGAGCCCAGCCTCCCGGATGATCTGTTCTGCATACAGGTTGAAAATGTATGGAGATAGGACGCATCCCTGGCGTACGCCCTTCCCAATTTTGAACCATGCAGTGTTCCTACGCTCTGTTCTGACGACTGCCTCCTAGCCCAAGTATAGGTTTCACATTAGAACTATCAAGTGTTCTGGGATTCCGATTTTTCTCAGAGTCGGCCACAGTTTGTTATGATCCAGACAGTCAAATGTCCTTGCATAGTCAATGAAACACAGATAGACATTCCTCTGGTATTTTCTCAGTATTTGGCTTACTGGTTCACCTGAAGCCAGGAAAAACAATTTTGTAGTAATCAGAATGTTAATCCAATGGTATATTGTTTACTTTATTGTTAATAACTGGTGATCAGTGGTCAAGAAATAGTTTTATATTAAAAAAAAAAGAAAGGTCGAGGGCCAATGAAAGAGAGAAAGACCCTCGACAAAATGGATTGAGACAATGACCACAGCAATGGGCTTCAGTGGGTCAGAGGTGATGAGGATGGTGCAAGATAGGACAGGGTTCAGCTCTGTTGTTCTCAGGGTCACTGTGAGTTGCACTGACAGTATTTAACAAGATTATCTTCTGGAGGTGCAAGAAGGAGAAGAGGCACAAGATAAACAACCCACTTGAAAAATGGGCACAGGATACGAACAGACACTTCATCAAAGAAGACGTGCAGATGGCAAACAAATACGTGAAGAAATGTTCAAAATCCCTCGCTCTGAGAGATGCAAATCAAAACAACTATGAGATATCATCTCACCCCAGTAAGAATAGCAAAATTTTACAGAACAGCAAACATCAAATGCTGGTGAGGTTGTGGAGAAACTGGAACCCTTATTCACTGTTGGTGGTAGTGTAAAATGGTGCAACCACTCTGGAAGGCGGTATGGCGCTTTCTCAAAAAGTTGCTAATAGAAATACCATTTGACCCAGCAATTCCATTAATGGGAATTTACACCAAAGAAACCATAATAGCCAGCCAAGCAGATATATGCACACCCATGTTTATCGCGGCTTTGTTCACAATAGCAAAGAGTTGGAAACAACCCAAGTGCCAATCAACAAATGAATGGATAGAGAAGCTGTGATATGTTCACACAATGGAATACTATGCTGCATTGAAAAACAAGGAACTCATGAAATAGTATGCAAAATTAGTAACCCTGGAGGACGTTAGGAGCAGTGAAATATCTCGATCACAAAAGGACAAATATTGTGTAGGGCCATTGTTGTAAAATGGGACTGACATCGGGGTTGAAGGAAGATAGAAAAGGAGGGGATGAATGATGTATATGGCATCAAAACAGATGACCTTTTAAAAAGGGATATATGATTAGGTATTACTGTCATGAAAGGAGTTCAGAATGAAGACTGCGTAGTGG